TTGCGTCATGGGTTAAACAGCGGGGCTACAGATGCCTCTTAGCACCCATCCGACGATCATTTTCTGGGCAATGGAACCTCAGGTGGCATTTCGATATCTAGATGAATTGAGCATGAAATGGCTGGTATGAAAATGGCGCCCGCAATTGAGAAGAACAAACACCTGTTAAATTAATGATTGTCTAAAAATTGCAGATGCCAATGAGTGAGAGGCAACACTTCACGTACACATAACTGATGTTCGATGTTTGATTTAAGACACTATTCTTTACTTGCACAAGATCTTCTTCAACCGCCCATCGCTCTTCTAATTAGAATCGCTTGATGAGGCTAAAATGTAAAGGGAGCAGTCCAGTGCCCCCTCGGCCATATACAGCTACAGAATTCAAAAGCATTTCCGGAACACAAAACGCCATTTTTGCACACCATTGACGACGCCGTTAGGATTGTTTCAATCGCCAAGCCATGCATGCCTTCCTCGAAGCTAAATGAAACACCGTTTCTTCATGAATACATAGCACATAAAATTCCTCGTTTCTTCGGTACCTTGGACATGAGTAGGTCGGAGTCGGGGACTAGACGGTTTGGTAGAGCAAGAGGGGTTCTCCGACGTTTTCTATCTCAGCGATGGTGCATTTGAGGTCGAAAGCTTTGGAGAGGACAATTTTGAAGATCTGGACATTCAATTAGAGGAGCCAATTATATTAGACAAGACGAACTGTACCTTCTGTACGTTGATACTGTGGCTTGTGCTGCTGAAGATTAGACTAGCTTTCATTGCTTTGGCGAATCGCTTGGCCTGTCATTTGTTAGTTCTGGTACAGTGAGCTCGTTAACGGGATAGTATACTTGGTTGGATATCTCCTCTTGCTCCTCTCGAGGAAAGTTGACAAAATGGTCGTACTTGGTCCCCACAAGAAACGGAATGGCGGTCTTATTGAACCCTCGTCCCTGGCGATACCATTCCTTGATGGAGTTGAGTGTGCTCTTCCGTGTCAAGTCGAACATGAACAGTATGGCAACGGCGTCGTTGCAGACTAATGGCAGCATGTTAACAAACTCTCGCTGGCCTCCCAAATCCCAAATAGAGAAGGTGATCTCTGTATTCCGAATCGAGATGGTCTTCTCCATGAAATTAACGCCTGTTGCTGTCAGAATGGCCGTGAATCAAACATGCCCATCCTGCTCACCTAATGTTTGGATATAGTCCTCATCCCAACTGCCCTCAACGTATTTCACCATCAAGCTGGTCTTGCCTATCTGCGCATCGCCAACCATGCCGACCTTGATAACAACGCTCGTATTCTTGTTGGCTGCTTCCTGCTGTTGAGGCTGGGAACTCCGCTGATTTTGGTCTTGATAAGCACTGGACCTCCCGCCTTCGGAAGTGGGATATCTGTGGCCGAGTGTTGAGTTTGGCCGCGAGTGCGATTGACCCATCTGTGTCTCCTTGCCGCCATTATAGTGGCCATGCCTCGGCGGAGTGTCCGCATCCGAGGGGGTATTGAAGCGCGAATTGTACGGATCGTGAGCGTTGTGATGATGCGAAAACGTGGTGTCGGAATAGGAGGTTTGCGGTCGGTGGTACTCCTGGCCATAGCCATTGCTGGCCTGGAAGTCAGGAAGGGGCCCGACGGTGGAGTTTGCGGTGATGGTCGTGTTCATGCTATCGTCGACGTCCATGGCGGTCTGGTCCATGTGCTTCTGCGTTTCCTCTGGAACGTCAGGAGGTAAGGGTATTTGGTCTGGGTGCATCTCCATGGTGAAGGTAATGGAGAAGCTTGACTCGAGGGCGCAGATGTCTCTAGATGGGCGAATAGGAGGAGGTGAAATGGCCGGTGCTGCAGTAGGCGCTGAGTCGGCCCCGCCGTGACGTGCGTGAATTGGGGTTGGGGTTCGCGAAACGCGTCGAGGCGTGCAGAAATGCGAGACCGCAGCTGATCAGCTCTGTGTTGACTTTTGCGTTTAGGAGATCAGAGATGGAACAATCCCTGCTGGCTGATGTTGATAAACAAGGTCTTCAAGCCCTTTGACCTAGCCCTGAGCGACAGAAGTGTCCCATGCGGTTGGAGGAGTCGGATTGGATGAACGGGAAGCTAGCCAGCAGAGCACGGCGGCCAACCCTTGAACGCGGTGCAGTCTGTGGCGGGGCACTTTTTCGAAGTCGAAAATCTTGGCATCCCAAACATTTTTTGGCTCGACTCCAATTTTTTTGGGTGGCCTGTTGAACATTTCACATTCTCACAGTACACCACATAATTCGCCACTAAAATCATGTCCAAACGCGAGGCAGAGTCTTCCGATATCGAGGCTATCAAAAATGGCGACCGTCCCATGGAGATTGACCAGGAACAGGTCGAGTTTGAGGATGAATTCGAGGATGAATTCGAAAGCGAAGACGAAATACTCGAGGCAGGTGTAGACGGACGACCAGATGAAGAGCGGGAGGCAGAGGAGCGAGAGCGTAAGCATTTACAGTCTGTATTCCGTGCTGGATTGATGTATGCTAAATCCATTGTGTAGAGGAGGCTATGGAAGTGGATCAAGGCACATTCATACCCGGCCGTCACAAACTCTCCGCTGGCGAGACGCTGGCACCCGATCTTTCCACGTACGAGATGCTACACACACTCGAGGCACCATGGCCATGTCTCTCCTGCGATATCGTGCGCGATAATCTCGGCTCCGATCGCAAAACCTACCCCGCAACCGTATACTCAGTCGCCGGAACCCAGGCAGCACGTGGAAGAGACAAGGAGAATCAGATTATGGTCATGAAGATGAGCAGTCTGTCGCGAATGGAGCGGGAAGAGGATGAGGAGGACGAGGATTCAGACGATGAGTCCGATCCCATATTAGAGACCAAGTCAATACCGGTGAATAGCTGTACGAACCGGATACGTGCATTCCAGTCGCCGCAAGCTACCTCCGCAAAACCACCGACAACGCTCACAGCCTCAATGCATGAGTCAGGGCAGGTTCTAATACATGACATAACCCCGCATCTTACATCTTTTGATACACCCGGCACCGTCATCACACCCGCGCAGAACAAGCCGATTTGTACGATTCGCGCACATAAAGCCAACGAGGGTTATGCGGTAGACTGGTCACCATTGGTACCAGAAGGAAAGTTGCTTACAGGCGATGTGTCCGGGAAGATATATGCCACGACGAGGACGCAAGGAGGTGGCTTCGTCACAGATACCACACCATATACAGGACATCAGGGAACAGTGGAAGAGCTGCAATGGTCGCCAACAGAGAAGCACGTATTTGCTTCCGCATCAAATGATGGCACAGTGAAAATTTGGGATCTACGATCAAAGTCTAGGAAGCCAGCTGTCAGCATTCAAGTGTCAAAAACCGACGTTAATGTTCTTAGCTGGTCGCATCAAACAGCTCATCTGTTAGCAACCGGAGCTGACGATGGCGAGTGGGCAGTCTGGGATCTACGACAGTGGAAGCCATCAACCTCATTAAGCAGCGATAAGAAACCCTCCCCTGTCGCATCGTTCAACTTCCACAAAGAACAAATCACATCCGTAGAGTGGCATCCAACAGATGACAGCATTGTTCTCGTCTGTTCTGGCGACAACACCCTCACCCTGTGGGATCTCGCCGTTGAGCTGGATGACGAAGAGAGCAGGGATACAGCTGGCGTGCAAGACGTGCCACCCCAGCTTTTGTTCGTGCACTACATGGAACAGGTGAAGGAAGCGCACTGGCATCCGCAGATTCCCGGGACTATCATGTCGACTGGTGGATCTGGATTTGGGTAAGTCCTCCCATATTTCGTGTAGAACTCATACTAACATTAGGCAGCGTCTTTAAAACAATCAGCGTTTAGATGTGCGATCAAACAATTTCAACGAATCGTGCCACAAGTAACATTCCTTAATCCTGTGCTCGTTGCATTCCAAACCGCATTCTTGGTGCTGTTCTGTGTATGTTCGCTTAGTGGCAATTGCTCATCTTCCAACCTATTCCCACGCATCCCAATCCGGTATTCTACGCAAACAAAGAAACCCTCCCATCTATACTACACCACATATCATGCTCTACACATTTACCTCCGCATCTATCCTATCAGATCCAGATCACGAAAACGCTCTGGTACAATTCTATATGCAACTCTTATCACTCAATCTTGCCTCCAGTCCATACCCACCGCCTCAGCATCCTTCACCTAGCACTACGACCATCAAATATAAATCACCCGCATCGTCCTCCATGCCATCCGCATCTGCATCCGCATCTACATCGCCGTCTAGCCTCGGCTTTCCGCACATTCCCGCCGGAAACTTAAGTGCGCGAGGTCTCGATACAACCAACACAAACTATGCCATCAGTTTTGAACGTACTCCCATCTCCGAACTCCCCTTTCCACATGATAAATGGCATACCGACCCCGGAACCGGTGAACTATACGAAGTTATCAGTCCTATATTCGAGGAATACGATCCAAAGAGCGGATATGTGGATAGTGTGGGTCCAGTCAGGGAATCTATTGAGAGCGATTACGATGTAGAGAAGCGGAGTATGGGAATGAAGAAGGCTGTTGATATAGGGCCAGATGAGGGGGTCGTGAGGAGCTGGGTAGGCTATGTACAATGGCCGGAGAGCAGTGAAAGGAGTAGTATTGTGAGGGAGGCGAAGAGGAGAAGGGAGAAGGAAGAGGAGAAGGTTATAGAGAGAAAGAAAAATAAGAGGGCGAGAATTCAGGGGTGAATCATCCGAACTACGTAGAGACAGATACAATTTACTAATTGCCAACTCCTTCAGTAACAAATTCTTGCTAGTGAGCTAGATCATTCTTAGGCAGTGTGTTTATGGTACGTAGGCTAGTCCTCGCCAAGGGGTGCCTTCCTCTCAGCCTCTACGAAAGAAAAAGAATAGATCCAAAAAGAATAAGGAACACTTCCTTCGCAAAAAAAGATGTTATGTGATGACCATGCCACTATTGTTTGTTAGATGCGCTCGAATTGGAGGCTGATGAGTTGTACTTACGGGGTCGAACCTGGAATCTCTTGATTAATCGAATTGAATCGTAGTCAAGCGCCTTGCCATTGGGCCACATGGCCGATGTTGTGATTTGTTTGATGGAGATTTTGGATTTAACAATATTCATATCCTTCATAGTGTGGTAATTGAGCGGAGCAACGAATGTTTTCCACCATCACACCGTCGTCGCCTATGTTGAGAGCCTCGTGAAGAGTTTTCCATGGTGCGGGACTTCAAGTGGGGTTGGATTGGATGTACCCCACATTGCATCACTAGACTGAAAGGGTTGCAAGTGAACCGAACACACATTATTACTTGCGTGCTTCCCACCAACATTCAATTTAGATTTTGTAGATATCTAGCTCAAGACCTGTCCTTCATTTCGCGCAGCACTCGCATGACCTCAACCGGTTCACTCTTCCCCACGAGCGCTTGGATGTCTGGATCACTAACGCGCATGAAAACATTGTGTTTCTAGGAAGAAAATTAGCCCACGCTTCACTTTCCTCGACGGACCACATCATTCATGACTTACCTTCTCGTCTCCAATCGTGAATTTGCCTTGCGTTTCTTTGTTCGCTTGCGTGAACTCGTCCAATTTCTGGATCGCATCGTTGTTTAGGACTTTCTTCGCGAACCTAACGTTACCCTTCGTGTACTCGTGTCCCGGATACACTTTCGTATCGTCTGGAAGTGATGCGAGGACTTCATTCAACGCTTTATGCATCTCTGTGGCATTTCCCTCGAAGAAACGACCACAGCCACCAATGAAAAGGGTGTCGCCTGTGAATACTGCACGGTCATTGCCGTCTTCAAAGTAGAAGCATATGCTGTCTTGAGTGTGGCAGGGAGTGTGTAGAGCGGTGACTTTGATGCTGTCGCCGATGGTGAATGTCGATTTATGTGACGGAGTTTCAGTGACTTTGTCGCAGTCTTTCCCGCCAATGATGGGCAGCTTGTATTTTTGGAGCTAGATGGGTTAGATGAGCTGGATGGATGGGCTTTTGCGTAACATACGATTTCTTCATTTCCTCCTGCATGGTCGTGATGGCTAAAGGAATTGTAAGGGCATTGTTGATCTTGCAATGATTGTAATCTTACTGATGGGTGTTGATTATCTTCGACAACTTGATGGCACCGCTCTCTGTCTTCTCTTTGAGAACCGGAAGGACCCTAGATGCGATTAGACCAGTATATGGCAGCGATATGGTCATGTGCATGCATACTCAGATGGATTGGCGGGGTCAATGATAACGGAATCTTTCGACTTGTCGTCGGTCACGAGGTAGGCGTAATTATTGCCTGTCCCCTCCCCTACGACGTATTAGTTATAGGTTTCTCGGATGACCATAAAGGTGCTCATACACATAGGAATTGATTGGATATGCATGGCGCGCTGTGTGAGTGGCTGGTCCGTGTCAGTCCATAATTGATCTTCGGCGAAGCAAATGTCTTACTTTCGAAAATGGTCTCAAGAATGGCTGAATGGATTTTCGCTTGATAGTAGCTGTGATAAGACTCATAACAACGAAAACGGCAAAGATTGTGTTTGTAATGTAAGAAGCATCGATGATGCCGAGGATGACGTTTTGGCGAAGGTTGCCGCCACGTGCCGGAGTTAAGGACAAATATTCTCCGACAATCAACTTCATTCTAACGACATGTCCATCACTAATCATCAGGGAATAAAATAATCAAATAGGAAGATTAATTCATGGTCACGATATTTTGCATACTTCCCTCGGATATGCAGTTATGTGACCTTTTCAACAGCCCCACAGAAGCCGCCTCGAGTGAACCAATCTTGTCTCATCTAAACCCAGCATTATCTCATAAATCGAGCCTCTTTACGTCTGCCCTTGACCCCATTGTTTGATAGGAATAGGATATAAAGAATACGATAATTCATATTTCCGGATCCTATATATACACTATCTGGGTATCGTCCTGGTCTAGTTCGCGACGTAAGCATGGAGACGGCCGCCCATTGACCGAGTAACAGCAACATTCTCACCAAACACTGTCTCGGCTGGCCTCCTCGTATTCTCTTTCTTCCCAAAATATCTAGCCGTAAACTCTTCGTCGTCTTCTTCTTCCGTGTCGGATGAGTTGTCATATATATGTGATGGCAAGAAGCTCTTCGGCCCGCCACCATTGCGTACGCACCAGACTCTATCTTTTCGCTTCATGACTTGTTTGGGGACTTGTTTCGGGGACTCCGTTATGAATACCTCCCTTTCAGAAAGCTCTTTAATTTTCTGGAGTGCCCATACAAGTCCCATGATGGTTCTAATTTGCATCAGTCAATCTTCCACGGATCATCGAACACAAACTCACAGTGCCTTAATGTGAAACCCCCAGCCTTTGCAATTAGCATTTTTATTTGTTTCCTTGGGATCCTGTTCTTCACATGTGGCGACTGGTGATATGGGGACAGGAGCTTCTACTTTGCCATGGACAGCTTCGAACTTAGCGATCATCTTTTCCTCCGCGTTTGGGCCGAAATTATTCAAGAAGGACAGAGTATGTGGGTACTGGAATCCCGGGATTTGATAGAGTGTTTGGTCGCGGTCATCGTCAGGAAAAGCTGGGACACGAACTGGAAATGGATGTGCCGCAGCTCGTGGATACATCGCTTGGAGGTGACGATCCTGTGCACCCATCCTAGGCCGTTCAGCTTCTGCAGGCATCGGATCCTCAGATTGCACGCGGTGAGGCATTCCGAATCTAACGTGGGTAAACATTGCTTACAATGGGCTGAGTTTGGTGTGTAGTGCGTCAGTCGTGTGAGTGGAGTTACTTGCAGAGCTCTGTGTCATCCTAGAGGTTTCTTGAACGTGACCATTACTAAGACAATAAACAGATGTGCAATTTTTCACCGTACCAACCAGCAATGTCAACAAAGTTCGCTGATTCAATTTTTAAGAGTGATTACCAGTTCAGCCTAGCGCCTCTGGCATCTGGTTGTCAAGTAAATTTAAGTCAGTAAATGCGACCACCACTAGCTAGAAGTACAAAAGCTTGCCTTTTGGACATTGTTGGGATTTAACCAACTAGCTACACGCAGCCTTCGTAGGCCGTACGAATAGAACATGCGCACACCAATATTACCACCCTGTTTTATCTGTGAGACCATTGCGCAGTCTAGAATCAGAGTGAACCCCTTCACAAGGTCCTGAACAAGGCACAGACGGTAGGTACAGACGAAAGGCACAAAAAAATCGAAATAGAGAAAACTATACTAGCACGACTCTTGCAATATATCAATTTTAGTTTCCGAGTGGCCTAACAATCTCATGTTGTCCAACCGACGTTTGTGGCGAATCAGTCCACACGTCACTGGCGTACCGGTATAAATGCGTTAAATATGAGCTGTAAAAACAAGGAAAGATTTAAAACTCCACCTTGATCCATTCCCAGCCAAACAATCCGATGCTTGCGTGAATTGTGGACTCATGGCGCAAGGTGGAAGAAGAACTTGGCACCATCGAAAGAAATGGTCACTCAAACATGGAGAGAGGAACAAAAGTAACTTATTTGCTTAAACTATCTCAAGGGATTGAAACGGACGGCAACTTTCGGCATTCATTCGCCAATTAGAAAACGTCAATAAAATAGAGTAAATTTTTCTTCAAGAAGGACGTTCCAAGAGACAAAATAATAGAACCAACTGTACACAGATCAAAATTGGTAAGATTTATTCTCAAAGGATCAAATATTGCCAGTTCTCCGAGCAAACATATTCAATTTAGTCCCGCCAAAAAGTCTCTGGGCACTGATGGTGTGATCCGAACGGAATCAGTTGTGGACAACCAGCGCAAATCACGACCTTGGAGAAGGAGAACAGAAAAAGAAGAGAAACCCATTTTGGTTGTAGTGAACTACTTACAACACATTTTGATTCTAGGTTGACAGTGACGCTCAAAATTCACAGTTGAGTATATTTTAAGCTTTGGTGATTTGTGCAAATACCTGCGGATCGCACCATGCCTTGACACTTGTAATGACAGGGAAGAAGCTCTTGTCACATGCACTCAGGGAGATAAAACAAAACTCAAATTTCGATTTAGTAGGTGGTATGGGAATGTGATGAGTTTTTGGTGACAAAGTCGCGAGTGTAGACGATGTATTCTTTTCCCACTCAATGAGTCTCAGTACAAGCGTTCGTGATCAAAGGTCTGATACTCGAAGAAGACAATGATACTAAGTGGGTTTTGACCAGCAGCTATTTGCTCATAAGTTCCGATCAATATGCCCAGGCTGATGATGTACCAATGCTATCCGCGCGAAAAGAGGCCAAATGACATGCTGAGACCATGCTCTAATACGTCAGTACCGATAATTATCATGGCGAAGAAATAAAGACATGTAGTAACCCCACTGGGCATGATGGCGAGAGTGTGGATTACACGATTGGAGTCGAGCTTTCGAAACGTAGAAAGGTTGTGAGATTCAAGTTTGCTGTGGACGATGAAGTGAAGCCAAGGCGAGTTTCGTCCTAGAACTCAATCTGGTGATATAGTCGTCCAACACTGAAAATCCGTAGCTTGGCTCCAGAATATTTGGGTTTAACATCAGAAAGCGTTGCATCATTTCGATAATGAATAAATCGAACCGAGATCCCCAAAACTTATTGCGCCATTGGCGATGAACTAACATTGCGAAAACTGTTGCGATGATCCGCTACGTCTCCTAACCAGTCCCCAGAGGATTGTTCAGTCCAGGACATAGCGTAAAAAGAGGAACCGGTATATGGAGAATTTGGGAGACAGACCGATGCAAATACCAGGTGGACCCTGCAAGATTTGGGTAATACATTTGCCAAAGGGCGTATATGATGGGTATCGAAAGGAAGATTTATGTATGCCATGCACATGAGCGAGTTGAGGAAGAGGTTAAGTTCTGCATGTCTTTTACCGTCGGAAATGTTCCGGAACAGCTCTCCAGTAGGATTCGAAATAGGATTCAATTTGGCGCACGCGTTAATCAACATTTGCGGGTCTAGGAAAAAGTCTGTTAGAGATTGGAAATTAGTGGAACCTTTCCAGAAGGAGCTTTTGGAAAATATTCGCAGGTCAAC